GGAACAGACAGACAGGAAGGATGTAGGCACAGACAGACAGGCAGACAGGGTGTGGGAACAGACAGACAGGAAGGATGTAGGCACAGACAGACAGGCAGGCAGGGTGTGGGAACAGACAGACAGGAAGGATGTAGGCACAGACAGACAGGCAGGCAGGGTGTGGGAACAGACAGACAGGCAGGCAGACAAGCAGGGTATGGGAACAGAGAGAGAGACAGGCAGTGTATAGGCACAGACAGACCAGCAGACCAGCTAGGTACAGATGCTGGGACACAAGCTCAGAAGGTTTCATGAGTGACTTGCTGGGTGGTATCTCCCATAATGCTGTGCAAAAGGGGCCTGTTTCAAAATGGGTTCAATATTGTGTTAAGATAGAGCACATCTTATTGCCAAACTGATGAGCAGAAACAACATTCTAAAAGCTTGATGTGATTCAGACATCTCAGACCATGTCAGATAGCCCCCCCCCCCCATCGCTGTTATTCATTTTTATGCTTTTCTGATCTGGAGAAGCAGAACATGGAGATGTCACCGTAGGCACATGGGAGAGCCACAGGGCCAATAAGAAGCATGTTCGCACCGCCCCTCCACCCCCACACCCTTGCACCCACCCCCTACAGGATCTCCGGAATCAAAGAGGGACACAAGTCAAACATCTGGACATCTGCTGAGCTTGTATGGCCCAGAAACTCGACCTATCACAGAGTCATTTGGTTCTTATCAAAATACTACGGTTCAGTGACGAGACGAGGTGAGGGGGCAGTAGGGAGAGCGAAAGGCAATACCTGGCCTACCGGGCGGGATTTCACCCGCTTAACTCAATTTCCCCTAATTCAATTCTCCTTTAATGATGTGACCGTTGGTGACATTGGCCTGACGGGGGGTTATTAATGCGAGAGCCCAAACATGTCTCAGCCAGTCAGAACCTGGGATGTGGCACACTGCACCGACCCGCGTTTGGCATCCCGCTGATTACGCCCACGGCCTCTCGACCTGTGTTTTTCCGGAGAGGCTCCTGCTGTAATACCCGGTACACTGGAGAAAAATCGGCAAAGACAGAAATAACAAAAAACGGTAACATAACCTTTTTATAATGTTCCCGCACCGCTCCAGGCCTCATGGGGTCTGCGCTTCTGTCATCTGGGAAAAATCAGGACGACTGCGCTCGGCTGCGCAGGAGTGTCACCTGTCACTGATCACCACTAGCATTCCGGCTCGCCATAAACATTGGCATTCCTGGGAGCCTACCGACAGCTAGCACTCCGGACATCATTTCCGGTCTGCTCCTAAATCACCCAGCATGCCCAGGTCACATGACAGACAGCCCCCCGCAGAGCAGAAAGACACCCTCTGTCTGGTTTTTTGCATTAGCTGTCTGCTTTGTTATATTCAGAAATAAGCTGAAGGATTTTCAAATATAACATGTAGCTCATCTGTTAATATTAACAGGAGGTTGTTTGTTACTGGGTTATTTTTTATCGAGGTTATGTTACAGGGACCTGTGGGCACTGTCAGGACACACTGAGGGACCCCCAGGTACTGATGCTTATGATGTCACGGTGGGAGGAGCCTGCAGTTCGTGGTCACTGTCTCTGT